CTTATTATTACTCTTGAAAGAAAGATTTTCTAGAGATAGAAATCTTAAAGAGGAGGATATGTGATCTTACTTTTACTATGGAAGCTTTCAACTACTTCTTTTATAATGATCTCTATTTATAGATATGATAATGTTGTTTATAGTTTACTTAAAAATAAAGGCGATCCCGACTAGGTGGAACTACCTAAACAATCAAATAAATAAGGGAGTTCCAACCAAAAACTTGCGCATTCCCATTCTCAGCCTAGTATTTTCTTAAAATTGACCCGTTCCACTGGCACTCTTTCTATTAATCGTACATCCCTATAATTGACATCAGAGTAATATCTATTTTTAGTAACTTTTTAGTGAATATCATAGTTTAATGATAATGTATTTTTTAAGTACTTAAATATTCTTTTAACGACATGTAAGTGTGACTCTTTTGAATTTGCTTGAAAGCAAGAAAATATACACACAATAAACATGATTTCAAGTTCACTTTTTATAAGATAAACGAGAAATCACATCATGTCTCAATAAAGTTTATTATCGATAGATTTTCCATTTTCATCGTTATTAAGCTTTGTGGATGTGCTCATGGGAGTAAGACCTTGCCTTAAAATTTGCATGTCATATTTCTTTTAGAGATCTTTAGTATATTTGTTTTGGTTTATAAAGATTCCTTCTTCTAATTGTTAATTTGTAGGCATAGAAAATAATTAAGTTCTCTCGTCATGCTCATTTCAAATTCGACATGCATACCTTTTTAAAAGCTCTTTATATATGTTTTCATTAGTTGTACCAAAGATTATATCATCCGTATAGATTTTTGAGCAATAAATATATCTTTTCTATTAGTCCTTATGATTAATATATTATCAATTTGTCTTCTTACAAACCCTTTTTTAAAGAAAAATTTACTAAAACATTAATATCAAGCTCTTATAACTTGTTTTAAACCATACCAGGCATTAATAAGTCTCTACACATGATAAAAAAAAAAAAAGTGAGTTTATGAAACTATTTGGTTGTTCTACAAAAAAACTCCTCTTTTATAAAGCCATTTAGGTATATACTTTTTACATTTATTTGAAAGAGTGAAATTTTTTACATAAGCAAAAGCTATTAATATTTTTATAGCTTTCAATCTAGCTAGGTGAGCACAGATTTCTTCAAAATCGATTCATTCCCCTTTATTGTATTGTTTTGCCACTAATCTAGCTTTATTTCTAGTTACTATCCCATTCTCCTCTATTTTATCATACGTACCCATTTAGTTTCAATAATGATTTTATCATTTGATCTACATACTAGATTCCATATTTTGTTTCTTTCAAATTGATTTAATTCTTCTTGCATGACACTTATCCAATTTTAATTATTTTTTACTTCTTCAAAATTCTTAATTCTATTTAAGATATGAAGACAATAAACTGTCATATATTTCTCAAGACACTCCTATTTCTCGGTCTATGTGATGTGTCACCTATAATTTATTATTTAGGATAAGTGTTTGCATATCTCCAATCTTGAAATAACCCTTAATGTACTTTTTTGTTCTTGGTTTTAGTTATGTGATACATTTGTGTTTCCTCCTTATTGTCATTTCTATTGTCAATCGGTGATTCTTTAATATTTAATTTTTTTTTCCAGTGAGTGCATTTTACCTATGCCTTCATCTTCATCATTTTTATTTCGAGAGATGAATAGAATCATCAAACATAACATTCGTAAATTTCTCAACTACTAGAGTTCTTTTGTTAAAGACTATACATTTTACTAAAGGTTGAGTATCTTAAAAAAGTTCCTTCATCAAATTTAACTTCAAATTTTTCAATGTTGTATTTATTATTATTATTAAATATGTAACATCTATATCTAAAAGTGTGAAAACAACCATTATTTGATTTTTTTTTCATTTCCAAAACTCATTAGATGTTTTATTTAGCAATAGATGAATTAGTACTCTGTTTATTACATAATAAGTAGTGCTAACCACTTCTGCCTAAAAGTATTTTGGTAAATTATTTTACATATCATATAACTAGTCATTTTCTCTAAAGATCTTTTTTTTTCTATTATACCATTTTGTTTGAGAGTTCTATGAGAGGAAACTTTATGATTAATTTTATTTTCTTCATAAAATATAGTAAACCATTGATTCTCAAATTCTTTATCATGATCATTCATAATGCTTACCATTTTAGTCCTTTTCTCATTTTGGACTTCTCACAAAAGTTTTTAAAAGCGTAAAATGTCTCATCTTTCTAAGTAAGAAAGATTACTAAAGAGTAACTTGAATAATCATCCATTAAAACATAAGCATATTGATGTCTTCTCATGCTTATGGACCTAGTAGGTCTAAATAAATCCATATGAAGCAACTCTAGTAAGCTAGTAATAGTGACAACATTTTTAAATTTAAAGCAAGTTCTAGTTTGTTTCCTTAATTGACAAGCCTTACAAATTTTATTCATTTTAAAATTTATTTTAGAAAGCTCTTTAACCAATATATTCTCAAAGAGTTTTGAGATTTTATCCATGTTAATGTGAGCTAACCTCCTATGCTACATCCAACAATAATCATTTCGAGTAACCAGATAAGTTTTAAATGAAGTAGGAAATCATCATGGCAAGTCGCATATATATTGTTTTGCTCATGATCAGTAAATTTGGTTGAGTTGTCTTTTATGTCAATAATAAAGAAATAATTAGACTCAAAGACAATTTTATGGCTCTTATCTCACAGTTGACTAATGTTTAATAAATAGTGCTTAAGACCTTCTTTAAGCACAACATTTTTAATAGAGGTAGAACTGTTATTTATTTTACTGATTCTAATTATCTTTCTTTTGTTATAGCAGCCAAATGTCACTTCTCCTATTTTCTTTAGTTTGAGCTTCTTGAAAGCATCTTAATCTCTTGTCATGTGCCTAGAGCAACCTTTATCAAGGTACCAACGCCTTTTTACTTTGGATTATTTGAAGCATATTTACAAGAAAATGTATTCACTCGATAGGTTTTGATGCCTAAATATTTTGGTTTGTGAATATCAGAGACTATCTTCCATTTAGAACCTTATATTTTCCCACCATTATGGCTATTCTTTCTAATGGAAGTATGAGTGTGAAATGTGCTCGTTTTCTGCAAAAATTTACTATTAATAGATTTACTACTTAAATTTATAGATTTCACAAAGAAATTTTTATAAAACTTTTATTTCTCAAAAAGATCATATACACAAGTCCCACTTAACTACATACATTTAATTGGTTTGCTAAGATCATATTTAATTTTTATGTTCCTGATACAAATTTGGTAAGTATACCATTCAAATTTTTAATCTTCTTTCTCAATGAGAGAATTTCATCCATATAGTTAACATCGCTTTTTTCTTGAATTTTTTTTTTTTAGCTTGAGGGCAATTAATTATCATGCGTGTTGGTTTATTGTACCCATAGTAAATCATCAAATCTTTCTTGCTTGATTCTCTCATTAGTGGTAGCTTCTTTCCACCAAGTTTTTTTTTCTTTTCATGAGGCTTATAAATCTTCTCAAAAGGAATGTCATTTCTCCATTATCCTTAGTTTCATCATCACTTTTCATACTTAATGTGGAAGCTTTAAGAGCAATGACTTTTTTTTTGTTGTCTTCATCTTCTCACCTCTCCATAGTGAATTCATAAGTGAGCAGTGACCCTAAAAGTTCATGAAGGCTCAACTTGTTGAGATTCTTAACTTCTTAAATGGCGGTTAACTTAGCACCTCATGATTTTAGTAGACATTTAAGAACCTTTCTCATCAATTCACTATTAGTGTAAATATTTCCAAGAGAGTTCAGACTATTAATGAGATCAATCAATCTTATAAATACGTTTAGGATGGATTTGTTTTCATGTATTTTGAAAAGTTCGTAATTACTCACTAACATATTTATTTTAAACCTTTTGATTTAGTTTATTCTTTCATGTGTTATTTCTAATTCATCTCAAATATCTTTGGTTGACTCACAAGTTAATGTTCTATTATACTCATTTACATTAAACCTACAATATAAAATGAATACTTAAAAAAGCTAAACCTCTAAAGAGTATACTTATTCACAAGTTATATTCTAGTTTATTTATTTCTTTGAGAATGAATATTTGTAAAGGCTAAACCTTCGAGAATTATTTACTTTTATCTCATTCTTTACTTTTGTTATTTTATATAATTTATTTAATTACAATAATTTTTGACTCATATTGATAGTTTATTTAAAATTTATATGATCTATAATTATAGAAAATTTATAAAAAAATAGATTATATGAGTTATAAGTAGACCGGTTGGAGAGACGTAACTTTTTGGATGAGCAAGATCAAATGTCTTAAAATATTCACTAAACTATACCGAGTTATTATACCCTAATGGAGAAGAATAATTGGGTTTCCTTGTAAGGAATCTAGTATTTTCGTAGTTCTAATTATGTTTATCAAATTTCAATTGGATGACATTCTTTCAATATCGACATGCTCAACCATATGTAGTAGCATACATAATATGAATATGTAAGTTTGCTTAGAATTGGTGACTTTCACTGGGAATATATATATATATATATATATATATATATATTTCTTTGCTTATTCATTCTTTTTTTCCTACAATGTCCTTACATCATTTTTGAATCTGTCCCCAATTAGCCGTAATGGAAATAAGTCATGTCTTTATTCATGTCCTCAAATCAAAATACGAAAAGGTTATCAAAAATGTAGTTTATACCAAATTTAGAGACATAAATGGAAAAGGTTATCAAAAATGTACCATCATAAAATATGATGCTCATATAAAGAGCTTTAAAATTTCTCCTATGGTACCATAATTACTTGTTCTTAGACAAAAAATGACTAAACCAACCTACCCAATGGAACTAAATTCTCTACAATTTTATTCTTAATAACATATTATTATCTATACAACATAACTTCATCATAATACTCAACTGAAAAATTTAGAATGGCAAAAAAAAAAAAAAAATTGTTTAAGATGTCAATCACTTGCTCATTCATTATATTCCACTAGTAACTGGAATCAAACATGGAATGTAGGTTTTTTTTTTCCTTACATATATATTTGAAAGCCTTCTCCCTGTAAATAAAAAACAAATCTAGATTTGACTAATTGTGAGAAAGGCATTTGTTGCAATTAAAGAAAAATAAAACAAAAACCTATCCATAGTAGAAGCTGATAAATTCATGCAAACATGTTTTCGGGCTGAAGCAAAATCCTCAAGAAAAGAATCGAAGAGTTTGCATAGGATCAAGGACCACGAATAGGAGTAAAGCAGAAACAGCCGGTAGCCTGGTCTTCAGGTATCATCCCTCCTCCCTTGCTTGTATCAATTGCTTCTAACATTCTCACCACCTCGTCCATTTCCGGTCGTTTTTCTGGATTTCCGTTCCAGCATTTCCGCATTATAGTTGCTAAAGAGTTCGGACAGCATCTTGGAATCTCCGGTCGCAGATTCTGTCCATTAAAATCTCATGTTTTCATATTCATTTATCATGATAAATGATCTAACATGGAATCATTACTAAAACAAGTATTACAACCGCATGTCCCACGGGTAATATTCTTTTACTTAAAGAAAAATTAATTAAGATCAAAATTTTTACTGAAATAAAACATAAAAATAATCAAAACTTTTACCAGAAATCTAGTTTGCTATTATTTTCCTACTAGCTGTCTAGCCAAGGTCATCCCCTTAAACATCACTCCTAGAAAGACAAACTTGTTTTTGAAGAAAAGAAAGAAAACATCTAATGATGGATTAATAGCCAAGAAACTTAAAACACATTAGAAAAATTAGGATATTTTTAATATATAGAGTAACTAATCTTGATCATTTCTTTCAATATAAACATTTTTAATAATCGATCACCCAACTCAATTATCTAATAAAGTTATGCTACTTATACATATTTCAATTTAACTATTGTTGATATGCAGCATTTTTACAACTTGAAGATACATGATCATGCTTTAGAATAACATGCTTGTACCAAAAGTAAAATCTCTAAGTGTCATATTGAATATTAATCATAGATTACCAAGAAAATGTAACTTGTGATGTTGAAAAAATAATATAAATTGTGAAGACCAAATTAGATTGCCAAGACATATTACAGTCAACTACATAAAACTGACCTGTCGAACAACTGCAGATGAGATATCCGCAAAGCTAAGATCAGGATAAGGCATATCACAGCAATAAATTTCCCATAAGCATATGCCAAAGCTGTATACATCACATCTTCTATTATAAGGCTTACCGTCGAGTACCTAAAATTTATCTCTTGTTAGTATGAAGCCTAAATGTTATGACCCTATATATATGTATATATATATATATATATGTGTGTGTAAAATAGCAAGCATACCAAACTGAGTCAACTTTTTTCCGGCATGCAAAAGTAATAAGTTAATTTTTAGAGAAGATGTATACCTCTGGGGCCATGTATCCAAGAGTACCAGTTTCACCAGTCATGTCCTGTGGATTCTGAGCTTCGACACGAGCAACACCAAAATCAGCAATTTTCAAAGTTCTGCGAGTATCTAGCAACATGTTTTCTGTTTTGACATCACGATGTACAATTTTCTTTGAATGAAGATAGCTGAGGCTGCAAATTATAAATAAAAAATATAAAACCATCATCACTAAAACATGCTTTAAATCTGGAAACAAGAAAAAAGAGAAAAACCCCAAACTTACCCTCTGGAGAGGTCTAAAGCAAGTTGAATTACAACCTTCAATGCAAGTTTCTTTCGCCTATTTCTTATCAAGTATTGTTTTAATGTTCCACCAGCTAGATATTCCACAACAACACAACATGCTCTGGGAGGAAGAGGATTTTGATCACTATTAGTTGTTGGAATCTTAAGATTGGAAGTTCCCATTGAAGCTCCAATAAACTGTAATGGAATTTCAGAAACCCAAATAAAAACAGCATCTTCGTTTAGCTAGTAGGCTAACAAACTCAATGTATTTATACCTATATATATATATATAGCGCCAATTCATTTTATATATATATATAAAATGTCAATCATTTTGCTTGCTATACAAAGCTAGATAATGGCATATATTATTTGCAGGCTACATGAAGAAAATGAAAAATGAAACTGAAGAATTAATGTGTGTACTTTTGTAACGTTAGGATGGTCAAGCTTCTGCCAAACAGCAACCTCTTGCCGAAATGAGGCCCGAAGGGAAGCAGTTTCAGCCGATCTGGCAATACCATCTTCTCCCCAGTCCAACACTTTCACTATAATATCAAACATGACACTATACATAGTCAGAAATTAGATATAGCAATCAAGCTCGGCAGCTGATTCTTATATTTTATTAAGCATATACATATTTATATACTTCTCTTAGCGTTAAAATGAAAGTTCAAATTCTGAAATTTTGTTCCCATTCAAATTGAATACTGAATTATAAACGACAAAGTTAAAATATGATGACAACAAGTTGGCAGCCCCATTTGTTAGCTTAGACTTTTTTACAAACAGCTTCTGGACGAGCACAATCAACAAACAAAATACTACTTGAATAACTAAATTGCATAAATCTAAACAAAGTCCACATAAAACCAAGGTTTGTTTTGCTTTCTTCCACGTTAATGGCAATCAAGCAAAAGCCGAAAATGAAGTTAATGCCAAAAAAGAAAAGAAAAAAGGAAAAAAGAGAAAAAGAAAGAGTTACCTGCAACGTCTTGATCATCATAAGTCCCTCTGTATACAGTCCCATAAGCCCCATGAGCAACAACATTTTTCATTTCGAGTTTCGACAAATCGATCTCCCATTCTTCTCTTGGCCTTTGATTCTCAATGTTTCTGGACCAAACTCTGCTCAAGTGTTTCTCCAATTGCATATCCAATGTCTTTAAATCAATTTTATCAGCTCGAAAAATCATGTCTTTGCTGCTAACACTTGGTTTCAGCTTGGAATTCACTTTTCCCTCTTGGCTTTCTGATGTCTTTGGTGTTTCCACACCAGTTTCTCCACTTGTTTCCAAATTCATTCTCAAACCCAGAAAACTCACTAGAATTATTGAATAGAGAAAGAAGAAAACAAAAACCAAAGGCACCTTCAAACAAACGAAAATTCAGAAAGAAAACATAAATACAGATGTATTTCTTTGCTCGTTAAGATAGAACAACAAGATTAAGAATAATGGATTTCAATATTTCGTCATAATAATTAGAGTTGTTGAATTTGAATCAAAACTCATCGAAGGCGAATGATCAAAATCGAAATTCACCAAGAAAAAAGAAACTATAATAAAATTAAAATCACAGAAAGTTATGCGAGATCATACAGCAACCAAATAATAGAAGAACCAGACTGATCCCATAAGAAATCGGAAAGCCGACTTCTATTCCTCTTCAAATTCCTACTCCCTCGAGTTTTGACCCCACAACGCAAAAATCAAAATATGCAAAAATACTACCTATAAGAAATACCAGACACCCTTGCTTGAATATCTGTAGTAGTACGATAAAATTAACATTTCATAGTTTAAAACCACAATTTTTCCACCATGAACAGAATCATATATTCTTTTTTAAATCTAATAGTTAAATTAATTAAAATATAAAAGTAAACCCTAACAAAAGCGACTCAATTCTCGTCATTATCCGACCAAAGATTAATGACCCAGAATCATTATCTCTTAAAGAAATAAACTTAAACATTCAGGAAAACGACCCTTCAAGCCACAATCAGAAAACAGGGAAATGACCCCGGAGCATAACGCATGCAAAATGCAAAACCCATTTACCAAGTGCCATAAGAAAAAAAAAATTGAACTAAAGTAAAGAGATTAGAGTGCGGATATGGAGAAATAGAATGGAGAAGGATGAGCTCGAAATTTATAAAATGAAGAGAAAAGAAAAGAAGATGGTGGTGGTGTAAAGTTTTCATGAGATTCAGAGACCAAAAAGTCTCATCACATGATCAAAACACCACCATTCTGAAAGGAAGAGGAGGAAAATCCCAGTCTCCTAGATTGGGTTTTTGCGGGGAATTGGGTGAGAGAATGAGAACGTTTGGGAACTTTTGTGGACGAGATTTGTAAAAATGAATCGAGGGGAGAAGAAAAAGATTGAGAGAAAAGCGCGGGGGTTGCCTAATAAGGGAGGGTTTAAAGGAGACAAAAAAGACTTTTTCAAAATCCTATACCTGTATTTTCCCTCAAGAACAATTTTTTTTTTTTTTAATATTAAATAATAACTCATCCAATATCAATTTATAAATATAATTATATTAATTTAAATCCTCTTAATTTGAAACTAAAAACTAAACCTTTTCTCCCACTCTCCATGCCATTTTCTCTACAACCAAACAGAGTGCAAAGGCATTTTTCAGAAAGTGTAAAATCATTACGAGAGGAGAAGAGGATGGAAGTTAACGTACGTTGGAAAATCTAGGTGTTGGATAACATGCACCTCCCCTTTTCTCTGCCTTACTATATTTTTCATTCTTAATTTCTTTATATATATATATATATAATTCTCTTTTCATTTATTACTTAAAGATTTTTTTTGTTATGAATTAATTAGAAAATTTTGCACACGCGGTATTTCTATATATTTCCGTGTTAATTTCAAAACAACACGCATAAATAAATTACGCTTTCTTAATTAATGGTGTGATTTTGAAATTATAAATAAATAATTTAATTTATTTATTACTTAATGTTTTTTTTTTTTTTTTGCTATCGTCTAAATCTTTTTGAAAAAAGAATGATAAGTTAATTTCCTCATATGAAATACTGAAAGAATTTGTGAAAAAATTTTAAGTAAGAAAACTTAATTTTCTTCACAACTAATTATATTATTATTGTTGCGAATGCTATTTTAACCCAACTCTTGAGCCCAACCCCTTTCTCCTGAGTTGAAACGGCGTCGTTTGAGGGCCCTTCTGCCTATCCTTTTTAAAAGGAAATTATAATATAAGTAGAAAGAATGAGAGAAAAAGTATTTTATACTCAAAATTATTTCAAAGGGTATGCTTTTAATTATTTGAAATTAAAATTACATGCATATATTCTTATGAAAGAAAAAATATATATACATATGAAATATCCCAAGAAATTTAAATATATATGTGTATAAATAATAGATGCTAAAATGTATATTACCAAAAGAATTCACGATGCACATATAAAAATATTTCAATAATTCTATATTATTTGATATCGAAATTTTTTGCATTAACTGTAAATTCAAATAACTCTTAAAAATAATATATTCAACTAGAAACTTTCCACCTAATTCTTAATTATTTGAAATTTAATTTATGTTTAAAATTATCAAAACTTTTATAATTAAATAAATAATGCGTATATTAATGATCATAAACGCAAATACAAATAAATAAAAATATTATTGAATTTAAATACTTACTTTTTAATTATTACTAAACATACTATAACTGAATATGATATCTACCATAAATATATTAATAATTATTATTATTATCAACTTTATAAAAAAAAAAAAAAAAAAATTTGAATTGAAACATGGTTTTGGTGGACAAATGTCAGTCACGTACCAAGTAGTGGGCCAAAGGTGTAGCCCATTTTGCGTTGTATACTATCAAAGTTTTCTTCAAATAATTCAGAATTCATTTAAATTTATGCTTATTTTAATTAGAAAATATATAAATTTTGTTACAATAAAAAATTAAGAGTACGTATAATTTTATTTGTAATATATTATTTTAGCTTCATATGAATTTAAATTTTATTATTCTAATAAATGACTCAAATCATTTTCTAGTTAAAAATTTGTGAATTTACAAGCGAATATAATGTAATTTTTTTACTTTTGCTAAAAATTAAAAAATTCTGTAAAAATTTATGTTTAAATCAACATTTAATTTAACTAGATAAGAAAGTGTTTTTATTTGAGTGATTAAAAAATTTAACTTAATGCAGGATGTTTTATTCTAATTCTACATAAACTTTTATGTAGAGATTTCTTTTTTTCATTTTGACGGAAAAATTTTACCATCTTCTAATTAGATTAATGTGAATTTATTAATAAATTTTATAAAACTTATAAATTTTGTTACAAATATAACCTAAGTTTATATTTTTACTCTTTAAGAAAAAATAAATTCGAGAAATAAAAAGTAGTATATATGGTTAAGTTCATCATCTACTAATGTTAATATATAATATAAATTATAGGCTGAGCTATTTCTTTGAAAGTTAAGCTTTTAAGAAATTAGTTATAATTTCTTTTTTCTAGGACAAGGATAAATAGAAATAAAATATGTAGCAATGGCTATTGACCCACTATGTGCACTCACGCCATATCACAAAAATAAAGCTGAATCAATTATGCAAGGTTGTCCAGAGCCCTAAGAATCTGGTGAGGCCATTGAGGGCCCTATTGACCTAATGTGCAAGGTGATTAGCACATACATTATCTTTTAAATAGATATAAAAAAAAAACTCTAATATTCCAATCACGATCCAACATATCAAGCATACTCGATTTGTCACTGTTGCAAACATGTATGTTATTCTCATTAGACTAAATTGACAAAAGTCTTAGCATCCTCCATATTGGGAACGAGACTAATCACATTATCATTAATCGTATCAATATGACTTATTCTCTTATAGGTGCTACCAATGAAGTCGATGACATTTTGACCAATCATCTCCTAGTGCCTCTAATATAAATAATCATGAAGACCATATGGTTTAGGGGCTTTTAGATGACCTATAGATTTAGTCGCATTTAAGATCTCAAAATTCAATAGGTTTGGCCAAGTCTAAGGTATCCATAAAAAAAAAAAAAAAAAAAGCAAAGCTAATACATTCCCTCTAAGAGTTAAAGTTAATGGTCCATCTCCTCAATGTTAAGGTTTTAGTAAAAGCTTTTAGCAAGCCTTTGGATCCAGTGGTTGTCTTCAATGATGTTACTATCTTGATCCTTGATCTTAGAGAAATGGATAATATGAGTATGAATTTTACACTTATTATGATATTAACTAGTGTTACAATCCTCTCTCCTAAGTCATGGACTGTAACTCTTCTAGAAACAGAACATATATTCTATATTCAGGAGGTCATTAGATTAAGTCTATATAGCCTTTTCAAGGTTTGAGTAAAGCACCGAGTTTTTATATTAGAGTGTTTTCTAGATCTTATGTATGTTGTTATACAAACATGCTTAAATATAAGAAATATGTCTGAATGTTTCCATATTCCATTGTTTAACCTTGTCGATGAACTACAAGATTTACTATGAATTTGTCCATTAAGAGATCAAGCTTGGGCAATACATTTTAAAAAAAATATATATAGATGCGATTCTCAAGTTAGCTCATAATGGAAAGGTTTATCCTACTGTAAAGGTAGCCTATTGGTGAGAACGAATATTTTAATAGGTATGTGATCTAGTTAATATCTAACAAGGTGACTCACTTCTCCATTTTTCGTGAAAAAATTGCCCTTGAAAGGTGGAATATGTATTGTCTATGGGAACTCTGGTAGACCCTAAACCAAGTGAATTGCAGTCCTTTAAAACTTTAGTTAATAAGTCTATAACCTCAATTTTCATATGGAATGCACGGGCTCTCCTATAATAGCCCCTCAAATCACAATTATGGTTCGCAAGTGAGGCAATGTCATTGAAGCTGCTCACTAGCACCCACAAGTCAATGATGTTCGCAAACAAGAACTCGAGGTAATTTTGTAAGAGTTTCCTCTAGTTTTCCCTAAAGCTAACATAGATAGTGGTGAAAAAATAACTCTTATTGTGTTGAATAATTTTACAGTGGACACTTTTTTTTTCTATGGGTTGAAAGACTTGAATATTTATGTAACATTATTTCATATCATTAAAGGACAAATGATTTTTTGAAATTAGTTTGGAGCCTCACTTTTAAATATTATACTCTACTTATACGTCTGGACAAAGTAAAAATATCATAATATTATTTTTGTTACTACAAATCATATATATAAATAAAATAAAATATATTATGTTGTTTTCTATTTCATTTAATCACTTTAATTTTTTCTCTCATTCTCTTATACATAATCATATATATATGTACGTATATATATAATTTGATATGGGTATAGCTCAATATTTTTTTCAGTAAAATCATTGATTGAGTAATACAATGTATGCCTTCGTTTTTGTCTATTATATAATCTAACAATAACTTACAAATGTTGTAATACCCGGGTCCGAAAAATTAGACCGGGATAAATTTTGTTAATTTAGAGATGTATAAAAATATATTTTATAAATTAATTTAATAAATTTTTTGTTATATTTGGAAAAAAAATAAGTTAGGGATGATATTAAAAATAATTTTAGAAAAAAGTGGTGAAAATTTGGGTTCAGATGGTGTTTTTAAACGAAAAATCAGAAACTGGGGGTAAAAATACAAATAAAAAAAATTTGGTCACGTAGGACTTGCCAATCATCAGTCTCGACGAATCGAAGCGTGTTGCGCGACAAGACACGCTGATTCGGTGACACGCGGGAGGCAACACTGGCGATCCGCGTGCCTCACGATTGGACGACCCAGAAGTGATCCCGCGCGCGTGGACGGCCCGGATCCATTTTTTCCTTAAGCACAATCGGATGGTCGACACCATCATTCTCGCATGAACACCAGTTGGCAGGGAATGTATAATTATAGTTGATACTAAATATATATATATATATATATATATCTGCGTGTTGTGTGGGAAAACTGAAAACCTGGAGGCACGGATGTCACGTGATACACCCCCCTCTTTATTTATTTCCTCATTTAACACTGTTTTTTTTTAAAAAAAAAAAAAACTTTACTTTTGAAAGACTTACAAAAACAATAATAATTCCTAGCTATCTTCCACTACGTTTTAGTTATATTATAATAAACCACTGTGCTCTCTTTCTTTTCTCTCTTCTCATTCTTTTAATAAATTTTGACCAAATAAAATATGTGCTGCTACCATAATAGATGGTATCTGCTTGACATGTAAGTATATTTTCATATTATAAATTTATATTTTTCAATTTAATGAGCCCATTTTTTAATGAGCAACTATGCAATTATTCTTATATTAATATACAAATAATTTAATGAAATACATGACCTAATTCATGATGAATATAGTCTTCGTTATTCTTAATTGAACCCACAAATATTAATATTAATATTATGGTTTAATTTTTTTAAGAATTAGTTGAAATTTTATTAATTATTTTTTTATAACGAGAGCACTAATAAAATA